TGACCAAGAACAAGCTGAGGGACAGCACACAAGCCATGAGTTCAAGCCCCAGGACTAGCACATACACACAAAGAAAAATCCCTCAAGTGAGAATCTTGTCTTCAGGTCTCTTCTCAAAGAGTCAACTCAGCAACAGATCTGGGCAGTCCACAGAAGAGGTAAGGACTTTGTACAAGGAGATCCTCAAATTTACCAACACTTTCTCTAGATATCTTTTGGCGAATTTCACAACTCAGAAAATTTCCCTCCGGGTCATGATGAACACGTAGTACCACAGTCAGCTCTGTCCCCACGCCCACACCATGTCACCTGTCCTGTAGCACTGCCTTCCTCCTGCATGTCATGGTCCTTCCTTGCTCTCTTACACACCTGCCACCTGTCTCTTCTGCTAGCACACATGCTCCACAAGCATGACAGTTCTGACCTCCTTTGACTTTCTGAGCGATTCCAAATTCAATCTGCAGACCAAGCCAAAGGCCTAAGAACCACATTGTTTAGTAGTCAGAGCAAAGGCCCTGCTGTCTGCCAGGAGATTCCTGTGTTAATTTGTTTCTGAGAATGAAGCTGAGCAGAAGGGAGTGTTTTGGTCAGGGTTGAAAGGACCAAGTCAGCCTTAGAGGGAAGGCAGGGCACAGCAGGAAGCACAGCGCCTCTCGTGGCAGCAGGAGGCAGAGCAGGGCAGAAACAGGGTGCAGAGAAAACACAATCCCAAGGAACCCCACACACAGTGGAGTCCCAACTACCACAGTCCACCAGCGTCCAGAACTCTCTTCAGGTTTACAATGTACCACCTAATGACATTCTCTCTAGGTCAGAGCCCTCATGACCCATTCTCCTTAAAATGCCCTGACACTCACATGTGGACATGAACTCCACTAACTTCCAGATCCTCTCAGCCAATCAAGATGGGGATCATAATCCCTTCCTGACTCTGCTCTTCAATCCAGGAATTCCTGTGGGAGTAGAGCTGGGAGTAACCAGAGCTGAGGGCAGGTGGAGGGAAGGTGGGCAGAGAAGATGCAGAGGAGCAGGAAGGGAGCTCACAGGAGAAACCTGACATCCCTCCTCTCTGCTCTTCCCACAGGTGGCTCCCTTGAGGGCACTGGGGACAGCACAGACCCACACTGGAGGCAGCAGTGCTAGAAGGAAAGCAAGCTGCCTCACATTGCCTTTCTCCTCACCACACACACCCTGTGCAAGGCTGCCTGGTGCTTTGGGAGGCAGTGACAGGAACACACCCCCTGCTGCTGTCACAGGACACCCAGAAGGCCAACAAGACACCAGCTCATGCAGGATGACAAAAAGGGACATAAGTATGGAGAAACAACTGATGGAGCCTTAGTAGAGGACTCAGGCCTCAGCCTAGTCTCACCTGCACAGTCTGTGCTGTGTTCTATACAAAGGAAAAGCCCCTGTGATCATAGGTGTTCATGGAGAAGGTTCTAGGCAAACAACACAACTGAGGAGCAGGGAAGACAACCCAGATGAGGACTGAATACATGACAGTCCAGAATGCACTGAGCTCCTATCCACACCTGCCTGTTCTCAGGCTAACCCTGGCCCTGCCCACAACACAGCTCAGCAAACATGAGGATTCTAGAATTTAATTATGTTTTATTTTCTACCTCAAGTTTTGGGAATCATTCAGTGATTTATTCAACATTTTTCCATGGCAATAATTTGAAACCCAGACCCACATCCGCATTCTCTTTATCAGTGAGGATGCAGGCAGATGCAGCTCAGAGCAAGGGAAAGTGAAGTCAGGGATGGGGAAGCCCTGGCCCCGCCTCTGCTGGAGCAGCAAGTGGAGGGGAAAGAGACCCAGGTCAGTGTGGGGAGGGTCCTGGTGCTCAGGGCTGGGCTGGCTCCTCAGTTCCTCACAGGAGGCTGACAGCACACAGAAGCCTGGACACGGTCAGAACCCAGGTACAGGAAGAGAAGTCAGGAACTCATGATGTCCCAGGAGGGAGGAGGAGAGGCAGGAACAAATGCTGTGCCTCTCAGACCACACAAAGCAGCTGTGTCACACTGCAGGAGAAAAGAACACGGACAACAAGGCAGATCAGTCACTGTTAGCTACACACTCTGAGCAGGCCACTAATACCCAATGCACAGACCCTGCAACTACAACACAGCCTTCCCTGCGCCTCAGCCCTGCCCCCCATTTAGGGTCTCCCGGTTGTCACCTTTTTCAGCTCTGAGGGAAGCATCAGAACCCTGGTCACTGTCGTCTCCTGTGGTGGAAGAGAGGAACTGGTTAGAGAACACAGGCGTCACTGGAGGAATTCCGGGGTGCATGAGCTCCCACAGGTCCTGTCTGCACCACAACAAAGGTCACCTCCTCCCCCATGGCACTCACTTGCAGCCTTATCATAGCCTTCTCTCTTGTCACCTGTAGGAGAAACACCATGTGAGAGGCAGGACACAAGCAGTGCCATGAGGGCCTGGATGAACCCCTAGCCTTGACCTCATGGGAAGTTTCTAGAAATGTGACCATAGAACCAAGGAAGCATGAGGAGAGAGGACTCCAACAGGTTGGGAAGAGAGACCCCAGGACCTCCTGGAGTGTGACCTCAGTGGGCACCTGAGTCCCTGTGGGCCTGAGTGCTGCAATCAGTTCCCATCACCACCCTCAGGAGGGGGAATTTTGTGTCCTTCGTGTTGCAGGTGATTTACAGAAGAGGAGCTGTCAGGCTGGGGAAGGCCCTGAGTGTGCTGCAACTTCCCATTAGGAGTGCAGCTCACACTTCTGCCTGGGGCCTGAAACCCACAAGTGGCCCAGGAACTCAGACCTCCACCTTCCTACCTCCAGTCCTCTTCCTCCACAGCACAAAAACCACCACAGCTACAATAACCAGAACTGCAAAGATGCCCACGCCAATGACAATGCCAGACGGCAGGAGCTCGGCGGAGGGCGGGCCAGGTTGACTGGTCCGGGCCATGCCGAGGAAGAAGCCCTTCAGCGTGAAGCAGAAGAAGAAGCAGTTGCAGGATAAGCGGGAGCGGAAGCGAGGTCAGTGCGGGAGGAGGGGGCGGGGCCCGGGCTCCCGCACCTCTGGAAGGAGGGGTGTGCCCGCCGCACCTCTGGAAGGGGTGGGCGTGGGAGGGGTGGTAGGCCCGTGAGGATCTGCGTGGGAGACCGCAGAGGGGATTCCCCGACTCCAGTCCCCTGCACCTCGGGAAGGAGTTGGGGGAGGGGGGTCCCTCCTAGCTCCAACGGGGCGCCATCCTCCAAGTTCCCCGGCGGAGTGACTACCCCCCACCCCCAGCATCCCGGGAGGGTCGGCCCGGGAAGGGAGCTGGGAGGTCTGAGGCCCAAGAGAAGTTGGGTAGGCTGGAGACCTGGCTGGCCGGGTTGGGGGGTCCTTCAGTCCCTGAAGAGTGGGCCAGCACTGGCGTCACCGGCCCCTCCCCGCAGGGCTTCAAGATGGGCTATGCTCCAGAACCAACAGCCGCAGCGGGAGCCGGGAGCGTCAGGAGGAGCAGACCGACACCTCGGACGGGGAATCTGTGACCCATCACATCCATAGGTTCAACCAGCAGCCTTCCCAGGGCCTGGGGTCGAGAGGCTACGATCCAAATCGGTGAGGGAGGGAATGGGGCGCCCACCTGGAAATCGGAGTGTGGGCAGTAAAGGTGGCTGCTTCTGCTACTGCTGCTGTTACTGCTACTACTACTGCTACTGCTTCTACTGGAGGCTCGAAAGAGGAGACAGTGGGGCTCTTTCTGGAGCAGCCTATAATCCTCCCTTCTAGAGGGGCTGCAGAGTTTTGCTTTTAAAAGTGGTTGAAAGGATC